GGTGGAACATTACCAACACTTCCTACATCCTGAGGTTTACCATTGACCTGAAATTGAGCTGGTCCAGTCATATAAATATAGTGGCTACCATAGCAGGTCGGAGCCAGGGAATGCTGCAGTAATTCCTGACTCCTCAAATGGAATGCTCCCCACTTGCCCAGGTAAATGCAGCTCCAACAATCCAGGACAAGGCAATCACTTGAATTAGCACCATACTCCACCACGTTCAGCATTCATGCCCTTCACTACTGATGCTCAGTTGCAGAAACACGGGAATACCACCATCCTGACTTGGAAATATATCACCGTTCCTTCACTGTCACTGGATCATTATCCTGGAATTCCTCCCCAGAGGCATAGTGGGTACCTCTACACCCTAAGAACTCTAAGACAGTTTAAGTAGGTAAATGTCATCACTCACTTAAGGACAGTTAGGGATGGGTAATAAATACAGGCCTAGAATGATTTTTTTTAAAAATTAAACTAAGGTCAAATTACTCTTGTTCAAGCTGTTCAGATAGCCAGAGCTATCATGTAGCACGTAATCACAGAGGCTTCTCCATGCCTTGGCTAACATGCCTCAATCTATCAACAGCCCAAGAACAGATCCACTTGTCTTTCATCTCATTTGCTATTTTTAGAATTTTATAATGCACCAATTGGTTGCTGCATTTGTCTACAGAAATAAAAGTGCCTTTACTTCAAGAGTAATTAATTGGTTATGAAATACTTTGGAATATCCTGATGACACAGTAAGTTTCAACATGAATTGTGAGTCATAGCAGTGGGCCTGTGATTGGGGTGGGGTGGGGAGGTGCTGTCGTGAAATGAGGAGTGAAGTAAAGGTGACAGGAGTTTGGGGAATGTCCATTAGCCCCCTGCCTCCCTGTGATTCAGTCACAGCTGAGGACAGCACTTCCACCCACAGGCCAATTCAGGGCCATGAGAGGGCCTCCTCTTGCCTGAAGAGCCTCCACAATGTGGGAAGGCTACACAGTAAATGCTGGCAGACCCCCTTACAGGCTCAGGGTGGGTGGGTCACACACATACACACATAGTCCACTGCCAATCTGTGCCTGTCAGAGTCCAACAAGCAGCAGTTCTTCAGTAATATTGCGCAAAGGGCCATTGTTTGTCATGACTTCTCTCGCCCCAGTAATACTGTGGCATCTTTCTTATCCACCTGAGAACATTGCTTGCCATCTCTTCTAGAATACAACACATCACAGGGTCACTGATTGGCACTGAGAAGGGAGTACCCAAATTGTATTGAAATTCCCACATTCGGATGGTATTTGATCTGATACACATGAACAGGTTTTTGATTCATTTTCACATATTGGCGTTTTCCTGTAAATGCTTATAATAACTCAATAACAAAATACAGCCACTATCTGTAGCATACATAGGTTAGTCCCAGCTACAGACAGACAGTTCTGCAGACCCATCCTTGAGTCTGCTTCATAATCTTCTTACTGATTAGAAATCAACCTGTTCAGAGATGTTATTACACACCTCTGGAGCAGGTGGGACTTGAATCCAGACCTCACAGTTCAGGAGTATGGACACTACCACTGCACCACAAGAGGGCCTCTTTAAAGGAATACTGAAACAGAAAAATATATGCCTAATCTGCAAAACCCTGGATTGAATCAAAGACCTTTAGACATTCAGCCTAAATTCTCCCAACTGAGCTATTTTGACTCTGGGTTTGCTTTCTAAAAAACGCATAGGTGGTGAGTTCCTGCTGGCAGGCCATTGCTTGTTACTAAAGGAACTCCTACTCAAGTAACTCCATAGGGAGATTAGTTAGTGATTCACCATGGGCCTTGTATGGATTGTCATAATCACGAGGACTCCTGAAATTTTACTGGTTTTATCTACACAGTGACCAGAAATTTGAAACAGAATATATTCTCAATGAGGCAGGGCGGGTGTTAGTGGCTTGATAGGAGATTACTAGTTTATTGCTGATATTGTCCTTGACACTCAAAAGGTTTTTTTGTTAATTAGTTGCCATGGGTCAGCAATGTGAGCAGTCTAATTGTCTTTGGTACCTCTACACACTGCTCCTCTCACTAACTCTTGCTCAACAAGAGAGGAATCGTAACTCAGGCTGGACAATTTGTATATGTAAGCATCAAAGGCAGGATCAGGGTGGGCTGTGATATCAACACAGTGGGATAGCTACAAACCGAGGTGTTGACAGTCTGTGGGCTTGGTGCCAAAGGACTGCTGGCATTCTTAGCACTCCAACTCAAACCATTGATTGAAAGTTAAAGTTTTTTTTCAACACTTGCTTTCAAATGTTGCCATGGGGAATAACGGAAGGATTGACAGTTGTTGAACACATTTGACAAGCCACAATCTAACCACAATGAATGGTTATATCCTTTGAGCAGAATAATCCCACACCCACTCTGTGCTCAACGCAAGAGCACCGAACCAGGATTCAGAACTTCCACTCACCAGAGCTGTCCACAGCATGACCCAAACCCCGCACTTCCTGCCTCTGAGGCTGGAGGCTGACCATTGAGCTAAAGGGTGTCTCCCTTCTGACCCAGCGAATCAACAGGCGTTTGTATTCAATGCCTCAATGATAATCCTGCCTTTGACTGGGGCGCAGGAGTGGGCAGAGTCAGTGCAGAGAGCAGTTCCAGCGAGCTAAGTGTCAGCTCTTCAAGTAACTTCAGGCAGCTGCTAAGCATCTGTCCTCAGTAGCTGCTCTGAGTGAACAGGAAACCCCTCACCAAAAGGCATTTTCTGAAGAAATTAAGGAATATAATTAATCCTTCACTAAGTGCTCTATGGATTAAAGGGGCAGTGTGGATAACTTTCTCATTGGGATTGTAAGGCACATGGGACTCTGGCCTAACAGTTGTTTTTTTTGAAGTCACATTCTCCAATCTTGTCAAATAAATGATCTGAGGGACAGGGTTTTTAAGTAGCAGCAGAGATATTGGTGGTGAGGCATCAAATCACAACCTGTGTTGTTATATAGAACATAGAACCGTACAGCACAGTACAGGCCCTTCGGCCCACGATGTTGTGCCGAACTTTTACCCTAATCCTAAGGTCTATCTAACCTCCACCCCTACCTTATACTATCATCCATATGCCTATCTAATAGCCACTTAAATGCCCCTAATGAGGCCGACTCCACTACCCTCTCCGGCAATGCATTCCACGCCCCGACCACTCTCTGAGTAAAGAACCTACCTCTGATGTCTCCCCTATATCTACCTCCGCTCACTTTAAAGCTATATAAAACTTTAAAACTATGCCCCCTCGTAATAGCTACCTTCACACAATATATCACATTCTTCTTCGGATGTGAATGCTATCAGAAAGACCAGTGCTTACTCTCTAACCCTCGTGACCGTTCAGAACATGGTGGTGGTGGTGGCCCACATTCTTGAACAGTTGTGGTTTGCATGGTGAAAATGCTTCCACAGTGCTGTCAGGGAGTGAATTCCGGGATTTAGGGCCAGTCGATGGTGAAGGAACAGCGGGGAATGTCGCACATTCCAGCTGAAATCCTTCCAGGTGGCAGAGGTCACAGCATTAGGAGGTGCTTCCAATGAAGCTGCTCACTGCTGTTGCTCTATATTCCCTAAAAATATACAGGCCGTTTGGAAGAACAACAGTGTACTTTCAAACTGTTTTGGTCTCAGGTCCCGCCTGGGACGCGGGAGGGTAAAATCACAGCCTAGCAATAATGGAAGAGAGACATCCACACCATGAAGTCTGTCACAACATTCCCTGTTGGATAAACTCAACTCACCTGGTGGAAATAGGAACGAACATGGAGTAGATGATGAATGAATGGTGGCTGGTGGGGAGTAGGGGTCAGTGGTTGCTGCTTCTGTTTGTTATCCTGTGGTGAAAAGTGCTTTTTGATAAGGACAGTGTCAGAATTGATCATATCATCATAGAATCCCTACAGTGTGGAAACAGGCCATTCGGCCCAACAAGTCCACACTGCCCCACCGAAGAGCATCCTACTCAGACCCATTCCCCTACCCTTTGCCTGTAACCCCGCATATCCCATGTCTAATCCACCTAACGTACATACCCCTGGACACTATGGGCAATTTAGCATGGCCAATCCACCTAACCTGCCCATCTTTGGACTGTGGGAGGAAACCGGAGCACCCAGAGGAAACCCACGCAGACATGGGGAGAATGTGCAAACTCCGCATAGACAGTTTCCCAAGGGTGGAATCGAGCCCGGGTCCCTGGTGCTGTGAGGCAGCAGTGCTAACCACTGAGCCACTGTGCTGCCCCCAGTGCCCCCTCCCTGGAAAAAATTTGGCTGCTTATCCTGTATCAAAAGGTAACTGCGCTAACAAATGTTCTAATCACGTTCTTTGACCTTTGGTACTGTTTTTTAATTGTCATTTGATACTTGAAGTTGCTGCTCACTTTCTACGGTGATATTTTACAATTTGAATAATTAAGAGTAGAGAAGAATTGTATTTTTCTTATTTCTCTGCAGTTGCTAGTGTGATGAGTTCAATCTGTGAAGGCTGTCAAACATCATTGCTGAGTTCAATGGGGTTTTGCATAGGGGAACTAAGGAGTGATTGCCTAATGCCAACTGTAAGCTTATCTGACCCCTCTCAACTGTGAAACTCGCTTCTAGCTACTATACTGCCCTGTGTCGGTGATAGAGGTTTGAAGGTGTGGAATTTTGAGCAAACATTTGTATGCACAGCTTTGCTGACATCCTAGATACACTGAGGACGTATTCTGTTCACATCTGCTCCCTTTCTGAGTTTCAGCAGCAGGACATTTATTCATTGCCTTTCTGACACAGGATAACCAGGTTATAGAACAGATGATCTACTGCGATCAATGGGCATTGCCTCTCACTAGTTGTACCTATGGACTTCTGCAACCAATGTCATTGAGGGATTAACTATTCAATTACAAGAAAAACAACCTTGTCAGCTGTAGGATTGACCAACTTCTCCTCTCTGTCATTCCTCTCTATGCAGGTTACGACATCAAGCACACAAGGAACTTTACGCATATAAACAGGTAAGATCCATTTCTCCACTCTGTGGAACAGACAGGGTGATAGTGTCCTGAATCTGCTAACATCCATTCAATAAAATGGCAATTCCATCCTTTATGTGAGTTATGTGCTCACCAAGGTAAGGAAAGTGAACACAGAGTGATGGAGTACTTCAGAACATGCACGGTCAGCATCAAGTGCTTTGGTTCACCAGGAGTGTTTAGAAGTGCTGAGGAAAAGCTGTGACCTCCAGAACATCTCGCTAACCTATGACTATTTCCCACACCAGGCAGCTGAGTCCAATTCCGAACAGATGTCAAATTGGGAACAACATGACCTCATTCCCTATTAGAACTGGATTGGTGACATCCAGGCTGATTTGATAAAGATAATTTGCAGGTTGTTAAAATACACATCTTCCTCCTTGTAATCTGAAGTATTGAAATTCTACGTCCAGTGTTGAAATCTAACCTAATTCAGACATCAAATTCCCCAAAAGCATTCTTTTCAATAAGTGACTCACATATGTTGTCACTGTGCAAAGCCGTGCATAATATTCTTGTGTTCACAAACCTTGTTGTTCTGCATCAATCAAAGTCAAGATAGGGAAAGACTCCAGTGCCACCCTCTCACATAACTTCATCAACGACAGCGATGTTCTGCAGTCATTGTGAAATACATTGGACTTCTCCCGATAAAAAATGGCACGTCGGCCTGATTTTTGCTCCTGAAGTGGGCAGTTCGATTCAGGAAATTTCCTGATTTTCCAGCTCCCCCCCACCACCTCTTGATACAGATGTCCCCAAATAGTATGATATCCACTCAGGAGGGAGTGGGTGTGGAATGGAATTGGGCCCACTTCCCCAGTAAACCAACATAGACAGTGACAGAGGTAGCGATGCTGAGGTAGCCACATTAAAAAAGCCACCTCAGTTCTCCAGGATTTTTTCCCAAGTGAGACTGTAGGCCTTTAAGCCCTCGCCAGAGGGCACATAAAGCATCTTCTGCTGTAGCACCAAGGTCCCAAGAAAACCTTCTGAAACAGATTAATAAAAATGATTATTTTGAATAACTATCCACGAATTGTTGTTTCAATAATTGGTAGAAAATGTATGAGATAATATTCTCCACAGAGTGTCCCCAAATTGTCCCTCCCATTGGACTCTTATATCCTCCATGTCAACTCATGCCCCATTTACCCCTACCCCCATCATGGTCTCTTTACCCTCTATGCAAACTCAGTATCCACCATGAACACACCTAAGGGGCTATGTTGATATTAAATAGCATAAAGTTCTAAACCATTTCTTTTGATATTGGGACAGAATTTCTACACTGGCCACTGACCAGTGAAATATGCTGCCTGACAGCCCTATCATCCCATTAGGAGGTCTGGTCCACAGTACAGACCAGGCTCATTAGCAAGAATGGGAGGTGATCTCATTGAAACATGTCAGATTCTTAAGGTAATGACAGGGTAAATAATGAGAGAATGTTTCCCCTCATAGGGGAGTATAGGACCAGAGGGCACAATCTCAGAATAAAGGGGTGCCAACTTAAGACTGAGATGTGGAGGAATGCCTTCTCAAGAGGGCTGTGAGTCTTTGTAACTCTTTGTCAAGAGGGGTGCCGGGACAGACTTCTGTATATTAGAAGTTGAGATAAATAGATTCTTGATCTGTGCAGAATCAAGGGTTACGGGGAAAGTAGACAGGATAAATGTTGAATCAGGTATGATCCTATTTAATGGTAGAGCAGTGTTGAATGGCCTGGTCCTGTTCCTACTCCTTATGGTCTTACCTTCAGAGGGACATCAAGCATCCTGGGGCAGCCTTCATGCTGAGATAGAAGGACATGGCTGGCCTGTGCCTAGACATCGTCACATTGTATGGAGTGCAAAGGAGTGTCCTTGCTCCTCTTCACCCTGCAAACATTCCCCTTATTTAGGTCTAGATTAGTGATCAAATTCAACAGATTCCCTCCCACTGGCATTTGAAACAGAAACAGGAAATGTTCTCCCCACATTAGACTGTATTGTTTGGGAGAATAACTGTGGCTTCATTCTACATCTAAATGTACTATTCCTGATTTAGGAATAAATACCAGTCGTTCAAATATAGTATGTTCCATTCACAGGAACTGTGAAGTACTGCTTTGTGCACAGAACTCACAAACAAAACAGTTACTTAATTGCTATGTGGCTTTTTTCTGTTGTGTTCAAAAGCTGCGAGTTACTGAAGGATGATAAGCCATTGACTTATTTGCTCCTGAGGCAGAAATTTTACTGTAGCATTTTCATAAGGAGATTATATCTTAAAGATTGATTGCACATTTCAAACTCCTGTAATGTTCGAGTTTAAACCATCTATGGGAAAGACCATCAACTGATACCAGCTTCCTGGAATCTACCCACACAACAATTAAGTCATTACCACAGAGAAGGAGACTATTCAGCCTATCGCATTTATGCTAGCTCTCTGTAGAGCAGCTCAGTCAATTGTATTCCCCTGCTCTTAGCTCTGTGACCCTGCAAGTTTATTTCCCTAAACTGCCCAGCCACTTGCCTTTTGAAATTATGTATTACCTATCTCCTCCACTTTCATGGACAGTGAGTCCAGTGTCATTACCAACCAACAGATAATGTTCCAGCCCAAAATTTGTGTCTCCTAGTCATTCCACAAACAGCTAATGGGAACAGCTTTTCCTTGTCTCTCTTATCTAAACCTATCATAATCTTGTGCACCTCTACTAGATCTTTATCCCATTTTGCTTCTTTTCCTTTGCACGTTTCGGGTTTTCTCTCGTTTTTGCTTTCAGACATCAGCACACCTGCACAAGGCACAGCTTCCATTTATTTGTCGTTTGGCTTGACCCAAAAAGCTAAGGTCTTTTCCCCAGGGTAGGGGAGTCCAAAACTACAGGGCATAGGTTTAAGGTGCAAGGGGAAAGATTTAAAAGACCCGAGAGATAACTTTTTCAGGCAGAGTGTGGTGTGGATATGGAACGAGCTGCCAGAGGAAATGGTAGAGGCGAATACAATTACAACATTTAAAAAACATGTGGACAGGTACATGAATAGGAAAGGTTTAGAGGGATTTGGATCAAATGCAGGTAAATGAGACTAGTTCAGTTTAGGAAACTTGGTCAGCATATTTAAGTTGGGCTTAAGGGTCTGTTTCCATGCTGTATGACTCTATGACTATGAGCTTAAAATGTTCTGAAGTTTCCACGTGGTGCTGGAATTGCAAGCAGCAGGACTCAGTTGTCTGTTTTAGATCTAAACATAGAAACCTAGAAGATGGGAGCAGGAGGAGGCCATTCAGCCCTTCATCACGATCATGGCTGATCATCCAACTCAATGGCTTAATCTTACTTTCTCCCCATAACCTTTGATCCTATTTGCCCCAAGTGCTATATCTAGTCGCCTCTTGAGTACATTCAATGTTTTGGCATCAACTACTTCCTGTGGTAATGAATTCCACAGGCTCACCACTCTTTGGGTGAAGAAATGTCTCCTCATCTCCGTCTTAAATCTTTACCCCAAATTCTCATACTGTGTCCCCTGGTTCTGGACACACCCACCATTGGGAACATCCTCCCTGCATCTACCCTGTCCAGTCCTGTTAGAATTTTATAAGTCTCTGTGAGATTCCCCCTCATTTGTCTGAACTCCAGCAAAAACAATCCCGACTTAGTCAACCTCTCCTCATATGTCAGACCCGCCATCCCTGGAATCAGCCTGGTAAACCTTCACTGCAGTCCCTCTCGAGAGCAAGAGCATCCTTCCTCAGAAAAGGAGACCAAAACTGCACACAATATTCTAGGTGTGGCCTCACCAAGGCCCTGTATAACTGCAACAACACATCCCTGCTCCTGTACTCGAAACCTCTCGCAATGAAGGCCAACATACCATTTGCCTTCTTTACCGCCTGCTGCACCTTCATGTTTACCTTCAGCGACTGGTGCACAAGGACACCCAGGTCCCACTGCACACTCCCCTCTCCCAATTTACAGCCATTCAGGTAACTCTGTTACACCATTTAGAATCTAGTTAGGACCTAGCTTAAGCTATCAATTTTAATTAATGTCTCAAGACTTCAGCTCTTGTCATTGCTGTGCATTAACAAAAGCTTCCTGTATTTATTCTTGCAAAAGTTTCAATCACCAAATTCCACCCCTACCGACAATAATTACCAGTTATAACCAGTCACCTAATTAACTAACTGTGCAAGAGCCATGAACAGACAGCTTGTTTATCACTGGCTAACTGAAAAAAAGCAGTTTAAGGTTAAAGTTAAATGCTAAGTGCAAAATTTACCCAAATCTTACAAAGTGGTAAACCTTTAAAAGCCTTAAATTTTGCTCATTTGCTAAATTCTTCAGGATCAGCATTGTGTCGAAGCAATACTCTGTCGAACTAGGCCAGTGCTTTAGAATTAAGAACAGACTGTTCAATTTGTCCTTCCATTTATTGTTTGACAAAATTAACTGTTGCCATAATCTTTCTTTTTGATCTATATTTAATTTAGCAGCTGAACCCTCCTAATATTTATTAAGTAGTTTACAAATTTTCTTTGAGAAAACCAAATGGTGTTGATAATATAATTGCATAAGAATATATGCAGTACAAGCAGGAGAAGTCTATTTGGCCCATCAAGCCTGCCCCACCATTCTGTCAGACCATTGCTCATGCTTCAGGTCTCACCTCCTCTTTTATGCCAGTTCCTGATAGCCCTCAGTTCCCGATATTTAAAAAATCTATCAACCTCTTCTTTAAATCTTTCAGTGATCTAGCCTCCAGAATTCTCTGGGGCAGAGAGTTCCAGATATTCATTCTCCTCTGAGAGAAGAAATTCCTTTGCATCTCAGTTTTAAACAAGTATCCTCTTATTCTGTAAATATTTGCCTAGGTCAAGATGCCACCAGTAAAGAAAACATCTTCCCAACATTTTACCCTGTCTCGCCCCCTCAAAATCCACTATGTTTCAATAAGATCAGCCCACATGCTTCTAAAATGACAAAAAATAAAAGCCTAACATACTTGGTAGTTCTTGTTAAGACAGCACCTTCATCCCAGGAATCAGTGTCATGAATCTCTTTTAACCTGTCTCCAATGCCAGTGTATCCTTTCTTAAAAACAGGGACTAAAACTGTACACAGTACTCCAGGTGCAGCCTCACCGATACTCTGTATAGTTATAACAGAACTTCCCTATGTTTAAACACCAACCCGTAGGAATAAAGGCCAGAAGTTTCTTTGCCTTATCAATTACTTAGAGTCATAGAGTCAGACAGTATAGAAACAGGCCTTTCAGCCCACCATGTCCACGCTAACCAACAAACACCAATTTACAGTGATCATATTTACCTGCTATAGCCATGGCATCCTATGCCCTGGCATTTTAAGTGCTCATCCAGATGCTTCTTATATGTTGCAAGAGTATCTGATTCCACCATCCTCTTGGGCAGCACGTTCCATGGTTCTGCCACCCTCTGGGTGAATTTTTTTTTCTCAGATCTCCTGTAAACCACTTTCTGCTCACTTTAAGCTTGTGCTGTCTGGTCTTAGACATGTCTGCCATGGGGAAAAGATTCTCGTGATTTATTCTGTCTGTACTTCTCATTATTTTGTACACCTCAATCAGATTTCTCTCCACCCCTCCATCCCTCAGCCTCCTGTGCTCCAGGGAAAACAAACCCTGCCTGTCCAGTCTCTCCTCACAACTGAGACGTTCCATCTCAGAGAACATCCTGGTGTATCTCCTCTGCACCCTCTCCAGTGCAGTCATGTCCTTCTGATAGTGTGGTGACCAGAATGGCACACAGTATTCTATCTATGGCCTAAGCAATGTTTTACAAAGTTGTAACAAGACTTCCTGGCTCCTATATTCTACATTGTGCCTTTTAAAAGCAAACATCTCATGTGCCTTCATCACCAAGTTATCTACCTGTGGTGTCACCTTCAGGGATTTATGGATTGTGCTCCAAGGTCCCTTTTGTTTCTTAGTGCTGTCTAGGGAGCTACCATTCATTGTGCACCTCCTCCGCTTACTAGACCTTCCGCAGTGCATTATAAATTGAGCCTGAAGCATGCAGTGAAAACCTTGCCCTTCAAGTTGACCTGATACGACTGTTCAAAGTTCTGGATGACAGGGTCGATGTAGAGAATATGTTTTCACTTGTGAGGAAATTTAAAACTCAGGCCCATGAATCCTGCAAAGTCAATGATCAGACCAACAGGAGGGGAAAAAAGGAGAAATTTCTTTAGTCAGAGAGTGGTTGTATTGTGGTATACTCTATCCTGGAGGTGGTTGGGTCAAAAACTGCAATGGTTTCAAAGCGAAACTAACAAAATACAAGAAAGAGAAAAAGATCTGCTGAAAGTCCGAGATAGGAGCCAGTAAGACTGGTGTGCAGCATCAACAGTAGCACTGACCAGTTGGATCTTAGTTTTTTCTGTACTTTTTATGCAATATAATTCATTAAAGGTCATGTATAACCATCAAGGTTTTAATTTATAATTATCAGTAGCTTCCAAGTGTTATAGTAGAATATTTGTGAGTTTTGGTTGATTGGTTCAAATGTGGCAATTAAATGTAGGTCATTTATAGAAGCCTGATTTATTGTGATTCTGTCTATCTTGCAGGTTATACTGAAAGAGAAAGTAAAAGAACTTAATTTGCATGAGGTAAGGAAAATGCTTTGTGTATTTTTTAAAGAGGATTTAATTGCTCTTATAATTTTGTTTCCTTCAAGCTGACGTCTTCTTGAAAATCATGAGCACATGGCAGTGCAACAATGTAGACAGCTCAACGTTAGCCTTTACCTTTGCTGGTTTGTTAGTGTAAATACAGTGTAGCTAATTCCCGATCAGACTGAGCAACGTTTTCTAAGTTATTCGTTGTAACACCAGGTGGATAATTGTTGGCCAAGAAACATGAGTTAGTGGGGGAGTGGGACAGGGCAGTTAAGAAAGAAAGTAATCTCTTTGCTGATGGGGTGGATCTCTCCAGGATGCTTTAAAACCCCCTCGATAATACACTAGCTGAGTGATTGCAGGTTACTATGAATAAAACTACAGAGGGAAGCTTAACGTTAGCACCAAGAAGACAAATCTTTTGAGAGAAATTTGGTGCTGATGTTGTGAACCTATCCTTGCTCTTCCACTCCACAGACTCAGCTTCTTGGCGAGGGTTAGGTAAAGATACTGGAAAAATGTGGCAGAAGCTTGGGAAACCTTTGGAAAACTCAGCGACGCTTATCATCTGTAGAAATTTTTCGGGGACCTAAATTTGTCCAGTAATGAAATACTGTAACTCTAAACTGAAGAAAGAAAGGTAAAAAGCCTGTTTCTTACTCCTGGACTTGTGCCTAGGTCAAAACAATTGACTAGATGACTAGAAGATGAAAGCTTCCACTCTAAAAGTTTTGGCTGTAGCCTCTCCAGAAAAAAACAAAATGAAAGTGCAAGGAGTTTCAAAGTGGTTACTCTGACACTGCACAGATTGTTCTAGGAGCACAAGTTGCTACAATTGAAACCCAGTGTTTTGTACAAGTTGTCAAAGCTCTCCAGCAGCAACAATTCAATCCTTCCTGTCAAACTCTCGCCCAGAACTCTGAAGCTTTGTGCTCAGATATTTAAATGCAAAGCTAAGCTACGTGTGCTGACCCAGGATTGTTGGAGCAGACACCTGCTGTAGTGAAATGTGAGCCTTGTTGTTTAGTAACGTGACAGTTCTGAGTGATACTCAAAAGCGCCAGGGTTCAGTCTCTCAGGTGTGTACACTGTATTCTTATGCCAGCTGATCTGCAAAACAGGACCCCTGCAAGTACCTGTATTTGGAACACCATACAGTAAAAATCAAAATTGGCCAGCTCTTTGACCCCATCAGAGGAAATATAAAGGAGGCAACTCCCTATAAGAGAATACATATTATTAGAGTGCCATTTCTAGCAGTCATATTTAAACAGTTACAACTGGCTGTCTCAAAATGCTTGAAACCTATTGATGTACTTCTGAAGTGTATAGCAAACAAATCCCTAATCATAGTGCAAAGAGCATCACTGGCAAGGATCTAGAGCCAGGTTCTAATCTAAGCTGACCCTTGCTTTGATCTGCTGAGCAAAAGCCGCATTCAGAAACCTTGACTAATTTCACGAAAAGGCTCAGATCTTGTTGCCGGTTTACGTGGACCCATGGCAACGCTCAGCAGGCAGGGGAGCATGGAGTTCTGTCACTGCCCCGGATATCACTCTGCCTTCATCCAGCAACACGAACAAAAACAAGAAACTCAACTGGTTTTACAGGCATTCATTACATTACCACAGTCACTGCACAGTTACTCTTAACACAAATAATTTGTTGTGTTATCTGAAAAGGAGGAATGTTCAGGGTTACAGAGGGGGAGCGGAGTGCAGGGAATTAAAGCGCACTCAGTGCATTGATCATTCAGAAAGCCAGTGCAGACATGGCGGTCTGAATGGTTATTTTCAGTCCTGTAACTATTCTTTGAAGGGTTTGACAGTAAAGTCTCAAATATAGAAAAAAATAGAAAGAACTTGTACACTGTAACACCTGTTACATATTCCTCAGATCCCAGTGTTGTTTACTGCTCATTAATTACTTGTGAAATCTAGTCGCTGCTGGTAACTAGCTGTCACCTGTCCATTATAAGGTTCCATAAACACAAGTTGAGCTGAAAGCTGCCACTTTGTGGATAAAAATTCAACCCATTCAGTAGTTTAACTCATTAATGACTATCAAAAACTAAAAAGCTGGAAGTACTCAGCAAGCCAACCACAACCTGTGGAGGCCATAGTGACTGTAACATCAGGCAGGTGGACCTCACAGAATATGAGTTCCCTGCTTGGGGCTGTTAATCTGGTCCGATCAGGGAGCCCTGGCTGGCATGAAAAAAAGTATAGTGTCAGAGATACTGACACGTGGGAGCTGGCTCTGAATGAGGCATCACTGAAGTAAAGGATACTGGCCTCTGTGGAACTATTTCAGAGAGAAATAGAGTTACTTTTTTTTGAATTGATGGGAGAATGGAATGGTGAAGTAAGGCATCATGGGATGGTAATGGGGCAGGTGACAGAAACAAAAGATTGGGTTAGAGGAGGCTTAACTGCTAACAGCAGAATCATTGCCAGCAACTGCCGTATAAAACATGGCTGCAATGGTCTGAATAAGGCCAAGGACAGAGATGGAGCAGGATGATGCAATAAAATGGCAGCTGGAAATCCAGTGCCACAGTTGCTGACTGAGCAGCTGTTCCTTCCTCCATTTCCTCATCTTTGTATAAAAACAGAAATTGTTGCTCAATCTCAGAAGGTCTGGTGGAATCTGTGGGAAGAAAGCAGAGTTAATGTTTTGATTCCATTAACTCCTTCTTCTCATCTCTCTCCAAACCAACCTGCATCCTGATCTGAAGACAAGGTGACCCCTAGCAATTTCACAAATGCCATCCTTGAATAACAGTGCAATGACTCCACCTTGACCTTGCTGCTTATTTTCTGGAATGTCATATACCAGTTAATATCCAAGAACCAATCCTTGTCATCATGTGGAAATATCTCCATAATTACTGTCAGACTGTATTCACGTACATCAGTGTGCCCCATCTAATTGTTTACTGTGTTATGAAAGCCATGTGCATTCAGATACACGGTCTTCAGTTTTGTACTTTTGCAACCTGTGTATTATTTGGTCTTGATTGTTGGTGTGTTCCTCGTCTTTCTTGTCTCATTCCTGCTATTTTCTGACCCTCATTTCCCATAATTGCTATTTTCCTCTCTTATCTCAAGGGGAGATAATAGCCTAGTGGTATTATCGCTGGACTGCTAATCCAGAGACCTCGACAACATTCGGGGAACACGGGTTTGAATCCTGCCATGACAGATGGTGGAATTTGAACTCAATAAATTATCTGGAAATAAGAATCCAATGATGACCGTGAATCCATTGTCGATTGTCAGAAAAACCCATCTGGTTCACTAATGCCCTTTAGGGAAGGAAACTGCCATCCTTACCTGATCTGGCCTACACGTGACTCCAGACCCACAGTAATGTGGTTGACTCTTAACTGCCCTCTGGGCAATTAGGGATGGGCAATAAATGCTGCCTAGCCAGTGATGCCCTCATACCATTAATAAATAAAGAAAAACAATCTTCTCCCTGCTATTTGATGTACCACACCTGATCCTTTGCTCCACTATTTAATTTAACACCCCCTATGCTTCCCTAGTTATGTCATTTGTAAGAATATCGGCCTAGTATGGTTCATGTGGAGACTGTCTCAATGGTACTTTCACCAGTACTGGCTCCAGTGGCCCACAGCCTGGGACTCACTTCTTCCAATTTGCATTAATCTCTGATAATAATGCAGAGATTATAACATTTGAGGTTCTGCATTTTAATTTAGTGCCTAGCTCCTCATACGCTGTATGCAGAACCTCTTTCCTAGTTCTTCTGAACTCTTTCATATCGACATGGACTGTAACCATTGAATCCTCCCTCTCCCAGTGCAAGTACCAGCCTTGAGCAGATGTCCTGAACCCTGGCACTGGGCAGGTAACAGAGCCATCTGGACTCTCTTTCTTTATTGCAGAGAATGCTGTCAGTCCCCCTCACCATACTGTCACTATTACTGCTGAATTCTTCACTTCTCCTACACTTGATCAGCCTCCTGTACCATTGTCACTTTGCTCATCCACCCTGCAGCCACCAGTCTCATCCAAACAGGCTGAGAGAACCTCAAATCTGTAGGATTTACTGCAGAGGCTGATATCCCTGTCCTCTGGGTCCCCCTTACCTGTCTCACGCACAGTCACACGTCCTGTCTCTGATCGCTGGCCAAATCAGAGGACCCTATCCTACATGTTGTGATTGCCTCCTGGTCCAAAGAATCCAGGTAACTTTTCCCCTTTCTGATGTGTTACAGGGTCTGGAGTTCAATGTCCAGCTCATAAACTATGAGCCAAAGGCACTTGAAATTCAAACACTTACTGTAGATGTGTTCGCTCTGAATCACAATGGTATCCAGAAGCTGTCCTGTCCAGCAGCCATGGCCAGTTTTCATACAACTTTTCCCAAACTTCTTCAAGTACCTTCATCTTGAACCACCCTCCCTCTTTCATACTGTCTCTCACCTCTGACACTGGGCGCTGCCAATCTGTCAGAGCTGGAGTGCCTCCTAGTGGCCATTCTGCCTTCAGGGCACACCAGTATCAAGCCACCTACCACTCCACAACTCACCAATGCTCCCCACCCTTAATTGGCTAGTGAGCATGCTTCCTGTTTGCTAATTGACTGGCTCGTAAGAAATCATGTCAGCATCAGTCATGAGGCTTGCACCCAGGAATGCGCCCAATGCCTGATTTACTTTCTAGCCAGTTCACTCAGATTCTCTTTCCACAGATGCTGCATGTCCTGTTGTGTATTTCCTGCATTTTCTATTCTAATTTGAGATTCGCAACAAATGTGGTATTTTGCTTTACAGTGTGATACCCTGTAACTACTGTTCATCCTTCACGAAGCTCTCTATAAACTTTGGCAGTGTCAACTAATAATGACTACTGATGACACCGTGTCGAGCTGGAGGAACACAGCAGGCCAGGCAGCATCAGAGGACCAGGAAAGTTGACATTTTGGGTCAGGATCCTTCTTCAGAAATCACCCGAAACGTC